AAAAAAAAAAAAAGCTTTTCCTCACCAGCTAGACCTGTAAGTTTTCCTAAAATACAGTTTGTTCAAAAAAGCAAGAAAACAGTGCTTGAATCTTTCCCTTAATTCTCAGCTTTTAGAGTAAGAAGTTGGGCACCAGCCACTTGTGCTGGTGACGGCTGAGTTGTGTGTGCTTTGTGGGAGACAGGGACAGAGGAAGCCTCTGTCTGTCTTCGGGTGTGATTGCTGTTTTGTTAGCTGTCCGGTCCTTTGCAGACACGATCTGTAAAGGCTCCGAGTGGCCCGTGTGGGGCCTGCCGGGTTCGCTCCGGGCTGGGTCTGATGCCTTCTACCACACGCCGCTGGTCTTGGAGCGCTTCTACCCGGCCCGCTGATAGCTGCCTTCTCGCCTGAAGCGGGTTCTTGCCACGGAGCCCTGGGCCTTCGAATGGGCGGCTGGGGGTGTTCACCATTCCCGGGGTGTCATCGTGTGCAAGTTCTTTAGTGTATGCTGGTAGGAGATAGCTCGTTTGACATAAAATAAGTCGTGATTTCACCTGCTGTTTCCCCCCTAGAAACGTTACGTATGCAGAATTTACATGCTTTTGAAACATTTTATGCTTGAATTCTCTTGAATTAAAATCTCAATGTCTGGAACATCAACATCATTATTTATTTGCACTTTTCCTAATAAATATGTGAAATGTTTTCAAAGTAATAATACCAGTACTTCCACCAGAAATGAAACTACTTTGTGAGCTTTCAGATTTATCGTGGTTCTTTGGCCTTTAGAATATATCCTCACAACACTGCACATTAAAGTAACTTGAAATATATCTCTCTTCTCTATTGCTTCCTTGAAATATGGTTACATTCCTTTGTTTTGGCTCTCAATTATCAGAGAACTTTTGGTTTCCTTTGGTTTTGTTTTTGCTTTTTGATTTGATTTTTGAATATATACAACATTAATGTGAGTTCATAGTCAAAACCAAATAAAATAAAACCATATAATAAAATGTCAGTGAAAATTTTGTGGTTTGCCCATGTATGTCTTTGCCCATTTTTCCATTGGAGACATTAAAAATGTCTTAGTGATTTTAAACAATATTAACTTTCATGTATTTTGCAAATGCTGTTCTTTTTTCTCCATTGGTTGCTTTTTAAAATGATTTTTTAGCAAGATTTATTTGTTTTAGAGAGAGAGAGAGAGGGAAAGAATAAGAGCAGGGGAGGGGCAGAGGGAGAGAGAGAGAAATCCCAAGCAGACACCCTGCTGAGTGCAGAGCCTGATGCTGGGCTCGATCTCACAACCCTGAGATCATGACCCAAGCTGAAATCAAGAGTCGGTCACTTAACCCATGGAGCCACCAGATGCTCCTCTGTGGCATTAGGCATAATGGACGCTTCGAGACCGCTTTCTCTCTGACCCGCAGGTGTGGAGGTCTCAGCCTGTGACCCTGGGCGTAACATTCGAGTCTGAGATCCTCTGTGACATATCCCGAGGCCTCTCCTACACCTGGACCTTCTGGAACTCCCAGGGGTGGCCGGTGCCCCTGCCCCCCACTGTCAGCACCAACAGGCAGACCGTCACCGTCCCCAGCTACTTCCTGGAGCCCGGGAACTACACCGCTCTTGCCAGGGTGAGTGGTTGGCTGACGTATGTCCCACCCGCCTCAGAGCAGGAGCTCAGCCCCAGTCCCTCCAACCTGCTCTATCCCAGAAAACGAGGGTTGTCACAAGTGTGGCTGGGCTCTCCAGAAATGGTCTTCCTCGGAGAGAGCAAACTGCATGTCCAAACGCAGGCAAAGTCATCGTGAAAATCTCCTTACTCTTTTAGCAAAAGCCTCCTGAGCATCTGCTTTGACTGTGTTGCTGAGGTAGTCCCCAGATGTCAGGGGAGTGTCTGTGTCTGGAAAAAGGGTGAAAATATGTCACGGTCCCTTCTAGAAGAGGCGGCTTCATGGAGCAGAGTCTGTTCGCAGGCAGAGACTGGCCCTGCGTTTTCCTGCTGTCTGAAAGTTCCCCGGGGAGCTCGTCACCTCCTGGGGGAGGGGTGGCTGTGAGCCCCGCCTCTGGTCCTGCGGTGTTCCAGGTCAGGAGAGGATTGCAGAATGGCGGAGGCCGTGGATGGTCCCGTGGAAGCACATGGGGTTTGAGGGGCTGGGCGGTGGGACACGAGGCTGAACACATGAGTGGGAGGTTCTTTTGAAGACCAGGGGAAGGCAGAAATGGAGGGTTGGGCTTCAATGCTCAGCGGGCCATGTTGGAAATGTTGGAGGGAGGTCAGATGGATGTGGGGGGAGGTAGGGGATTGTGCTGGGGTCTCTGAGCAGGAGGACAGGAGCAGTGAGGGAGGAGGGAGGTCAGGTGGAGTGTCCGGGGAGTGGAAGGGGGATCCTGGGGTGTGGGGGGGTGCTGGAGTCTCTGAGCAGGAGGACAGGAGCAATGAAGGAGGAGGGAGGTCAGGTGGAGTGTCCCAGGAGTGGAGGGGGGATCCTTGGGAGTGGGGGTGCTGCTGGGGTCTCTGAGTAGGAGGACAGGAGCAGTGAGGGAGGAGCCCAGGCAGGCAGCCCTTGTGTTTTGGGGATGGGACAGGGGAAGGAGCCAGAAAAGGGGGGAAGGTTTGGTCTGTCCTTATTAAGCACCTTAAGGATCTGTGTCACCAGTTTTATTTAAATTTTAAAATAGTAATGTTTTATTAGTTAGAGTCTTTTAAAAAAATCACTTGTTCCTGTAATGGTCTGTATTGTTTCTTGGTTGAACACAGCTTAAACTCTTCAGTGTCCACTGTCACATCGGCAGGGGCGAGTAGGTATCCCGTTTCTGTGACGGATCGTGGGCTCTCCTTGTCACCAAGGAACACGGGAAGTGACTCCTAGAAGGGTAGATTTCAGCTGGACTGACGGGGCCCATCGCAGACCCTGTGACCCAGGTCATGGTGTGGACCACGCTACCAGCCTAACTTCCTGGTGTCCCAACTGGGGCATGAACGGGGTGGTGGAGTGTTCCCGAAGCAGGCCGTCTGGCCAGCCTCTCCGAGAGGCCAACTGCCTGTGGTCTGGCCTGAAACTTTGCAGACCACAAATACCGTGGCTGGTTTAGTTAGAAATGGTCATTCTCGCAGGGCCTGGTTCATACTGTGTAAGGTCACAAGTGAGTGCCACGTGACCTGGCAAAAAGAGGAAGGGACAGGACAGTGTGCCCCTGGGGATCCCCCTACATCCCCTGGCTCTGAGCAAGGGTGCACAGTTGGATAAGGTGCGCAAAGATGGGCATTGACATGATCGGTGAGACCACGCGTGGGTAGCCTGTGTCCAGTGCTGAGAGTCCCTTTTCCCCAGGCCCTGGACAGTGGGGTCACAGCACCCTCTCCTGCCCATGTGGGAAAGGAGAAGGTGAAGGTTGGCTTCATTGCTTGGCACACTTACTCATGAGCATGTCCTTGCCCGAGAGTGGACTCTGGATGTGTCTTCCTCCAGGTCGTGGGGACCTGACTTGATGAGGTGCTTTTGCTGATGAATGAGCTTGTCATCACGTTGCCTCCAGGGGTCATACCCTCCGATGTCCAGACCTCCCATTGTCACTGCCCACCCACTTCCCAGTCTTTGGACGTTCCTGATGGTTCCTCCAGCAGGAGGAGTTGGGCAAGCAGAGATGGGAGGTGTAGGTGGGAGTGTGGAGTGTGATCAGACAGTAGTCGGTAGATGGTTGTCAGGTCCCCACTCGGGAGAGCCACCAGCAGGGAACCTCGGGTGCCTTTCTGAAGGAGACCACCAAGGACCGGGGCCCAGACCAGTGAAAAGAACAAGTGTGACGCTCTGCTTTTTTTTTTTTTTTTTTTTAAATTGCATCAAACTTCTCAAAGAGCCCTTTTGAATGGCCTGCTTACAAAATGTTCCAGTATTCCTGAGTTTCAAAATATTTGTTTTAAAGTTCATTTACATTGCCTCAAGACCATCGCATGGGGGCTAGAAATGTAGTTTGTTTTTTTAAGATTTTACTTATTTTTTTGAGAGAGAGAGAGAAAGCAGGGGGAGGGGCAGAGGGAGAGTCTGAAGGAGACTCCCTGCTGAGCACGGAGCCCAGCACGGGGCTCGATCTCACCACCCTGAGATCATGACCCGAGCCCAAATCAAGAGCTGGACACTCAACGGCCTGAGCCAGCCAGGCGCCCCCAGAAATGTAGTTTACAGAAAGCCAGCTAGTGCCATCCAAGACCAAGACCATGGACAGGGTTCCTGTTGGCGGAGCGGGGGACCCGTGTGTCACTGCGGGAGTACCTGGGCCGTCCCGGCTCTGTGTGCACCCCCAGACGTGAGCACGTGTCCCTACCCTCCTCCACTCCAGCCGCCTTGCTTCCACTGGGCACACGGGAGGCTCCTTCTCTGACACAGGTGACCGGTTGGGGTTCACGATAGCGGAGCCCCTCGGTACAGCGCTGGGGGCACGTTTACACTCATCCTTCCAATGTTATCCTACTTGTTTTTAATTTTTTTTTTTTTTTCAAGTCATCGCTACACCCAAGGTGGGGCTCGAACTCACGGCCCTGAGATCAGGACTCGCACGCTCCGCTGCCAGAGGCAGTGGGTGCCCCCGTTTCCTTGCAGTGGTAGAGGGGCGTCCGGCTCCAGCGCGCCTCCTGCCCAGTGCCCTGGGTGACGTCCCCTTGTCGCCGCGGTCCAGGTTCAGGTGGAAGGCAGCGTGGTGCACAGCAACTACAGCGTGGCGGTGGAGGTGCGAGCCCGGGCCCCCGTCAGCGTCATCTCCGAGGGCACGCACCTGCTCCTCTCCAGAGCCCCCTCGTTCACCGTCGTCCTCACGGGCTCCCAGTCCTACGACCCAGACCGCCCGGGGGCCGCCCTCAGGTGAGCACCGGGGAGCTGAGCTCGTGTCTCCCTCGGGATCCTACCGTGAGGGAGTTTAGGGAATGGGTGTCACTCAAATGTGAGTATTTTGGACAATGAAGTTTAAGTCTTGTCCGGTCCCACAGCCTGCGTAGCTTATCCACAGTGGACACTGCTTTCTGTGGACTCGAGGCCGGAAGGCCAGATCGAGGGGCCGGCCGATCGGTGTCTGGTGAGGACCTGCTTCCTGGTTCCTAGCTGGTTCTTCTCATCGTGTCCTCGGGCTCTCGGGGGCTCTGCTGTAGGAGCCCCGTCTGTCCCTTCCCCTGAGGTTCCACCCTTGCGACCTAATCCCCTCCCAAGACCCCCCTCCCCACACCGTCACACTGGGCGTTAGGTTTCCACATTTTAGAGGGACACATTCAATTCTTGGCAAACATGTTACGCTGTGATTAAAATTCTTGCTTTGGTGTATGGGGGCTTGATCTCCAAGTGTCCCACATCCCTTACTGTTGGAGGTCCCTGGCTCAAGCCTTGGCCCCCTTCTCCATCCACATGCCCTCCCTGGTGGCCTCACCCGGTTTCCTGATGTGGGCGTGATCCATGTGATAGTCACCTCGAGCATGGATCCTCCATGGACGCCATCCAGAGCCCATGGCCTGGGAGCACACATCCTCTGTGGACACCGTCCCTGCGCCGGTCATCTCGAGCATGCATCCTGCGTCCAGATCCTTCTTGGCCTCCAGGCTGGGTGTCCCACCATCTCTGCAGCCTTCCCATCTCTGCTGACAGAAGGATCCTTCCCATCGTTCGGGCCAAAACCTTGAGCAGTTCTCTTTTCCTCTCCCACTTCTCGGCCAGTCTGTTGGGAAAACACATTGGCCCCGTCTGGGCGGAGTGGCATCTTGGGCTTCCTTCCGTGAGATCTCCTCCCTGGTCCCCGTGCTGGTCCCGACCGCCGTCAGGCCGTTCTTCACAGAGCGGTGGACGGAGTCTTTTAAAGCCCTTACTGTCACCACCCCATCTCCTTCCGTCTGTGCTCAGACATCACATGCCCAGGGAGGCTTCCGATGACCCCATTGACGGCGATGACAGTCCCATCCTGGCTCTGCGGTGTCTTTTCCTGTGGCCCCTTCTCCCCGTGACATCCCATATTTGCTCATGTACTGCGGTCACCATCAGTGCTCCGTCCCCGCTGGAATGTTCGCTCAGGACCGCAGGGCTGTGACTTGGCATATCGCTGTGCCTGGCACACAGTGGGTCCTCAAGCAGTATTCCAGAAAAGTTAGAGGTGCTACTTTGTTCTCTTCACCCCATGAACATGAACGTTTGCTGCGTCCTGAGTGCGGGCTTTGGTGGAGGCGGGAGGCGGCCCGTTGGACTCGCTGGTCACACGCACATGATCTGGACAACGCACATGGCTGGCTGCGCACCTCCCGTCCCCCGGCCGCGGGAGACACAGTGGGGTCTTGTTCACTCTGCACCCTCCCCTGAAAGCCCCGCCTGGCGCCCGCGAGCAAGAGTTCAGTGTGTGTCTGCTCCCTGGGAGCGGGGACTGTTCCACCCAGCTCTGGAGGAGGGCTGCCCCCGCCCCGCAAGGGCCTGAACTGGCCCCCTTGCCGACCAAGCTCCTACAGGCTCTGGAAACAGGGAGGTTTAGAACTGGCGCCCGGGTTCAGGTTGCTTATAGTCCAAATAGGGAAATGAACTTGGAGGTAGGAGCAGCAGTGTAGACTTTGGGGGTGCTGTGTGGGGTCCCTGCCCCTGCTCAGCCCATACCTCCTTCCTCCCTGCGCCTCCTGGTGGGGCTGCTGGCCTCGGCGTGTCCGCCCAGAGTAGGACCCGCTCCAGGCAGGGGTTGGGGTGGCTTCCTGGCTGTTGAGCACAGGGGTGACAGTCACAGGGCAGAAGGCCGTGCGTAGGGGATGTGCCTGGCGCCCATCTCCTGGCCCGTCCACCTGCGCTCCGGGACGGGCGGCTCCCGAGGACTCGGCCTTCCCGCAGTCAGAGGCAGCATGCTCCTTGGGGGCTGCAGAGATGCCAGTGGAGGTGGGAGGCGGCATGCACAGGGCCCGAAGATTAAGTGACCAGAGCAGGGCCCTGAGCCAGTGAGCTGGGCGGGGCAGGGCCCGGTCCCCAACCTTGGCGGCCTGCCCTGTGTTGGGAGCTCCAACCCCACCGCCGTCAGAGAGTAAGGGAAGCATCGTGTCCCCCGGCCCGCTGCTCCCCTGGGGCCCCAGGAAAGCCCCACGAGTGGCCCGGGGGTGGCCACCAGGCTGCCGAAGCAGGTGCCTTCAGCCCCGCTGGCTTCTCCCGCAGCTATCACTGGACGTGCACGGCGGCCAGCAGCCCCGGGCACGCATGCTTTGCTGCCTCCTCTGCACGCGGCCTGGGCGCTGGGGCTCCCTCCCTGGCCTTCCCTGCGGACTCTCTCAGCGACAGCTATGACCAGTTTCTCGTGACGCTGACGGTGTCCAGCGCCGGCCGGAACTCTTCAGCGGCGCAGGTGTTCCTGTCCCCTCGCCCCGACTCGGCTCTCAGGTACCGCCTGCCCCTCGCTTCCTGCAGGCCGGGTCCGAGGGGTGTGCCCTTCCGTGCCCGGCCCGGCAGGTGTGGGAGCCACCTGAGGGGCCTGCTGAGGAGAAAGGGGGCTGACCAGCGAGGTGGGGGGACCCCGCTCTCCGCTGGCCCCGGGGCAGAGCCCGCCAGGCAAATGCTGACACGTGGGGGCTCCAAGGAGGAGGCGCCCCTCCATCACGGCAGCTGCCCCAGGACAGGGGTCTGCTCTGGGGCTGGGGGCCGGGGCTGGACGGAGGCTAAGGCATCACGGGGCCGGGCCAGTTGTGACGCGGGGGCAACACTGGGCGCGGGGAGCAGGGATGTGGTCTGACCGCAAACTGGACCTGCGACACGGAGGCCGGGCTGGCACCCGAGTGAGGGCCTTGCTGAGCCGCAGACACTGGACGCAGACTGGCGTGTGCCACAGCTGCTCTGTCCGCCCCCAGGGGGGCGAGCGGGACGCCTGGAAGGCCCTGGGCGAGCAGGGCTGCTCCCATACGTGGACCCTGCAAGGGGTCTGGGCAGTTACCATCGCCTTGTTGTGTACAAACGGCTTGGGGTTAAAAGTGGGGAGACCGGGGTGGGTTCTGGAAGGCTGTGCCTGGCCAGGACCAACACAAAGGAGAGGACGTGGGCTGTGACACCGAGGTCAGACCGATGACTCTGGTGGAGACCACCCCCCAGGGGTTCAGGTTTGAGACCATGAAAAATCCGTCTCAGCAGACAGGATTGGGCGCCTCTCCAAGGTCCAGACACACCCAGGCCACCTGCACGTTTTAAGGCTCCTGATATGTATGAAAAGTGGGGGAATTAAGGTTCCAGGGGGCGCAGTCGACATAGCACGTGACTCTTGATCTCGGGGTCATGAGGTCAAGCCCCACACTGGGTGTGGAACCTACTGTAAAAAAAAAAAAATTGAAAATGGAAAGTCTGGTACTCTCCCTAAAATCTCCAACCTGGTTTCATGGTGCAGATTCGTCCACATCTCCTGGGTCAGCTTTAAGGACGTGTTTGTTAACTGGAACGAGGAGCTTTCTTTTCAAGCCAAGTGTGACGAGTGTGGTGAAGGGCCCCATCTGTCCTACTCCTGGGACCTCTTCCTGGTCAACGGGACAGAAAGGACCCAAATGGAAGGTAAGGTCATAGCCGCCTTCATTTTGTTAACCCAGGGGAGGACTCAGGTATTCGGAGATTGCTGAAAATGTGCAGACTCTGACTCGTCTGGACCAGTGTCCCTAGTCGTGCCCATCACACCCCCAACCCCTCTCGTTTATGCTCACGGGGACGGAGATGCCTGGATGCTGCAGCTCAGCCTCCTGCACATGAGCCCGGACCCAGGACTCGCCTCTGTCCCTCGCGGCTCCTGCTGTCCTTGGGGCCACTCCTCGCCCCGGCTCTGCAACCCGAGACTTCAGGCACTTCTCCGAGATGTGGTTTTCTTGGGTGGGTGGGGGTCCCACCCAAGAAAGGCAGGGCGGTGGCCACGTGACATGAGATCACGTGTGAGAATGTGCCAGCTCTGGGGTGGGACGTGGCCTGGGTGCGAACCAGGAGGGAAAGGGGTTCTCATCGGTGGCATCTGTGATAAGAGAGATGATTGTGAATGGCAGACAGAGGAGCTTTGGTTTCCAAGCTGGGTCCAGCTGGTTCCTGGGACAGAAGTGTGTGCCCAGCCCTCAGAGACCCAGACTTACTTATTCTGAATCCGTTCCACGGGGCTGCACAGAGCTTCCATACAAGGGCTCTGAGTGCAGCTGACCTCACAGCGAGGGGGACAGGAACACATGTGGCCCTTTTTTTTGTGCCCTTCTTTGCAGGGGAGCCATTCCCACATTCCTGACATAATGGGGTTTTCCAGAAGCAAAGCTGGTGGGGAATGCATGGGAGGAACCGGCATGAACACCCGGTGGTTAAACTTGCAGCCAAGCCAGTGACTATCCAAAGACCATGTGTCTCCCTTTAATGTCACAGAATCTGGCTCTGTGATGGCAGCGAGGACAAGCTCACTCTAGCAAGATGTCCTTGTGTTACATCCGTAAAAATTTTTTCTTTGTCGTTCATCCTTTCTCGTAAATTATACCAGCGCTCTTTAGAGTTGTTGCACGAGACGCGGACAGGTGAGTCGGGGTTAGGAGCCCCACGTGCCCAGAGTGTGTCTAGAATAGGCGTGAATCACTGTGCCAGGCGTGCAGGTGCAGGGGGAGCCCGAGGTGAGCAGACCCCAGGGGAGCTACAACATCCACCCTCCAGCTTCCCGGGGGGTGGTCTGCCTGCCTCTGGGGGAGAACTGCGCCCCGCCCCGGGCATTTTCTCGGACGTGTCCTTCTCAGATGTGGATCACGTTTGTTAAAACGGATGCTGATGTAATCGTAGACCTTTTTGTTTGTTTATTATTATTTTTAAAAGATTTTATTTATTTGAGAGAGAGAGAGATGGAGAGCACAAGCAGGGGGAGCAGCAGAGGGAGGGGGAGAAGCTGGCTCTCCACTGAGTGTGGAGCCCGACGTGTTACTCAATCCCAGGACCCCAGGATCATGACCTGAGCTGAAACCAGCAGTCAGACGCTTAGCCAACTGAGCCACCCAGGCGCCCCCCCCATAGACCTTTTTAAACCACATAGTTTTTGGGCGCCTGGGTGGCTCAGTTGGTTGGGCGACTGCCTTCAGCTCAGGTCATGATCCTGGAGTCCTGGGATCGAGCCCCACGCGGGCTCCCTGCTCGGCGGGGAGTCTGCTTCTCCCTCTGACCCTCTCTCCTCTCATGCTCTCTCTCACTCTCTCTCAAATAAATAAATAAAATCTTTAAAAAAAAGAAATAAAACACATAGTTTTTCTGGTCCGAACGTCTCACCCTGTCCCGTGTTTGTTCAAGTTCCCTTTTGTAGAACAGTGGGGCTGCTGGGCGCCGCCGGATTGGGGGCCATTTCGAAGCTGCCAGAGTCCAGCGCACCGCCCACGGAGCCGAGCTGGCTGGAGCCGCACGCAGTAGGCACACCATCTTCACGGGAGCCGTTACCACAGACCCAGGGCCAGCTGGTCCTCTTGGCCACGGGGAAACCCTCCTCGGGGCCCGCGGTCGGCCGGCACCGGGTCCCTGCTGCGGGTGACCAGGGGTCCCCGGGGCCCAGCCCCCCTGGGAGCCCGTGCCCCTCCCCCTCTGGTAAGTGCCGCTGTCCTGTCACGTCCGCTCGGCTTGTGGGATGCTCCTAGGGTCTCAGGGCCTTCCTCCCTAACTGCAAACCCTGTCCAGGCTCTGACAGCCATCCGTGCACATGGCCTCCTTCCCAGCCACCAGTCCCTTCACTTTACCCCTGGTTTTCAGGCTGCCCAGACACTGTTTCTGTGCCTCAGAAGTCGAGGGAGGAGCTCGTTGTCAGGGAGCAAAGTTCTGGCCCAGAATCCGCCCATCCCTTATTGTCCCTCCCCAGTGACGCCATCGAGGCTATGCTTTCCCTGGGCTGCGGCCTGGCAGATGCCACCCCGCGCCGGGGCCCCGGGGCTCAGGGCAGCCGCCGGAGCGGCCGGCTGCGGGGACGGGGCTGTGACGTCTGCAGCAGGACACGCTTGTGTCCACTTCCGTCCTGAGAGGAAGGAGCGCGAGGCTCTCTGATGGGGCAGTGGGAGCTTGGAGAGCGCGGGGCCCTGCGCCCAGCGGCTGGCTTATCCCGCGGAAGCCGCACACCCAGACACGGCCTCCTCCACTGTCACGGTGACGGGGTGACATGTGCAGAGCCGGCTGGGGCTCAACACTCAGACCCGGGCAGCCCGCGTGCGCTGTCAGGAGCGTCGTATGGACTTCAGGGGAGTCTGTGGCTTTAAATGACATGTCATGGTTTTCTCCTCCTGTGTAGATTTTGAAGCCTATTACAGCGATATCCAGGAAGCCATGCCGTCCAGAGGGAGACAGCCTGCCAACTGTGAGTCTGTGATGGGGGCTCCCCACATCCCCGCGCCAGTCCAATCTCCGAAGCCTCTGAAATCGGGAATTGCCCCTGTGCTCCCCCGCATCACGAGCTCCCAGAGACGCAGGGCACCATCTGACCCGCATCTTCTAGCTCACCCACTGCTGCACTCCAGGTCCCCTGTGCTTCAGAAACCCAGGTAGCCCCAGGCCCTCAGGCAGGCGCTGCTGGTCCGTGAGTGAGTGATGCAGAAAACACCCCCTTAGCGCCCTTTCCGGGATGTTGCCGTGGAGCGCTCCCTCCTGTCTGGTCGGCTTCTGTTTCTCCCTCTGTCCCCTTCTTCCTGTCTTGTACCCCCTCCGATCCTGCGATAGCCCAGCGTACTTGTCCTACTTGAAGCAGGTGCACGTGGTGCTCGTGGCTCTTTCCCCGGCTGTCTGGCTCTAGCTCTCCAAGGACACGTCCAGGGCAAGTGTGGACCCCCATCCCAGACGATCATGGTGCCTGGAACCCTGGCGCACAGCGAGCGTGTCCTCGAATGGACAGATGCGTGGTTGGTGGATGATCTATCTGTGGACAGAGGTGCTGGACGGTCCATGGACAATGTATCCATGGACAGAGGTGCTGGACGGTCCGTGGATGACGTATTTGTGGACAGAGGGGCTGGACGGTCCGTGGACGACGTATCCGTGGACAGAGGGGCTGGATGGTCTGTGGACGACATATCCGTGGACAGAGGGGCTGGATGGTCTGTGGATGACGTATCTGTGGACAGAGGAGCTGGACGGTTCGTGGACGACGTATCCGTTGACAGAGGGGCTGGATGGTCTGTGGACAACGTATCCATGGACAGAGGGACTGGATGGTCTTTGGACGACGTATCCGTGGACAGAGGGGCTGGATGGTCTGTGGACGACGTATCCGTGGACAGAGGGGCTGGATGGTCTGTGGACGACGTATCTGTGGACAGAGGAGCTGGACGGTCCGTGGACGACGTATCCGTTGACAGAGGGGCTGGATGGTCTGTGGACAACGTATCCATGGACAGAGGGGCTGGATGGTCTGTGGACGACGTATCCATGGACAGAGGGGCTGGATGGTCTGTGGACGACGTATCCGTGGACAGAGGGCTGGATGGTCTGTGGACGACGTATCTGTGGACAGAGGAGCTGGACGGTCCGTGGATGACGTATCCATTGACAGAGGGGCTGGATGGTCTGTGGACAACGTATCCATGGACAGAGGAGCTGGACGGTCCGTGGACGATGTATCCGTGGACAGAGGGGCTGGACGGTCTGTGGATGACATATCTGTGGACAGAGGAGCTAGACGGTCAGTGGACAGAAGAGCTGGACGGTCATGGAGGATTTGACCGTGGGATCTGCTCTGTTTTCGCCGGCATCCTCCTCTCCGGCCTCTGTGGTTTCTTCAGCCTGTCCGTGCTCCCTCCTGTGACCCCACTCACGTGTAAGGGGTTGGCTCCACGCTCACGGCGGGCACCTAGTAAATAACACCGAATGAAGAGAAAACACTCTATAAATAAAATTGCCTGGTGGTGACTGACTCAGAATGGGGGGGTCACGTTCTCCCTGCATCTTCTATCCGTGACTCTGAGTCTGGAGTCAATTTGCCCTCTGCGGTGTCCCGAGGTGCTGCGTGCTGGACCACGCAGGAGCCCTTCCTCTGTCTCTGCTCCCTTCCTGCTGCCTAGACAGACAGCCCCGGCTGCTTTCAGGGCACTCCCAGACCCCCCTGCCTCCAGGCCCGTCCTGGGCGGATTTTTGGCACTTTCTCCCGTCTGGTTTCCCTCTTTCCCACCCCCTCCAGCCACATCTCCAACCACTCTCCAGTGTTCACTCCAGAGCCCGTTCTGGCCTCTGTCTGCACCTCGCCCCCCAGGGGACCCCCCCGCCCATGGCCCACGGCCCACCGGCTCTAAGCCAGCCCCTGCCCTCCACCCCTCCTCATGCCCTGCCGTGACTGTCTTCGCTCACGGTCAGCTGGCTCCCTAGTCTGGAGGTTGCCAGCGTCGTCTGGTTTGCTGGGCTGACTTGCTCTGCTGGGCCCTGGCAGCCGGGCCCCTGTCACTCTGCTGAGCGGATCTGCCCTGGACCAGCTCCCGGGCTCAGCGAGCAGGGTATTTGCTGAGCAATTGAGGATGGGCAGGAGGGGATAGGCCATCGCACCACCCACCGCGCAGTGACAAAGGACAGCTCTGGAGCGGGGGTGGTTGCTGAAGACAATATTTCGATAAGACACGTCCAGCAGCACTGGCGCAGTTATGACTTAATATTTCAGAAGATCATTGGCACTTACTCCCTGACCCTGTGTTGGCTTGCCTTGTCTTCCTAGGGGCCGATGCCAGCCTCCCGGGAGCAGGCCCGAGTTCGAGTGCTGACGGGGGCCGCGGGGACGGGGACAACCTGCTGGGCCCCTCGGCCCCCCTGGCCGCTGCCAGGCCCACCCTCGCGGTGGACTGGCCCAAGTCCCCGGTCGGCCGCGCTCGCTTCCACGGCTACACCTCGTCTGGTAGGAGCCCTCTCTTCAGATCCGGGGGTTTGCAGCCGGTTCACAAGGGTTTGGGGACCAGCCCCTCTGTTTCTTCTGCAACATTTCCTTTCAGTAGAGAAGTCCTTGGGGTCATCGTGCCTTTTCTGCTTGTGCGTGTCCCTCCGTGGACGCAGGCAGAGGCTCCTTATCAAAGGCGGAATGTGCCTCTGAAGCCCGCCAGGGGCCACATCCGCAGACACGCCCAGTGGAGGCTCTGGGCCTCCCCTGTCGTCAGAAGGCTGCCTCCTCCCCCTTCCCCCACCCCCGGCCCCCATTTCGGGAAATGATGGTTTCCCTATTGAGACCACCAGCCTGCATTTCGGGGCCAGCCTCTGCCCGCTAAGGAGGGGACCCGGTCACCAGTGGGCAACAGTCACACCCAGATTTAAGAAATGGTTCACAGTCTTCAAGACAAAAAACTCGCTTTGAAATGCCTTAATCATGCCTCGTGGACAAGGTCAATGTGTCAGCGAGCCAGGTTGGACACGGAAGCCACCACGAAGGGTACAGCGTGAGCTCCCACCAGCGTTCTCTTGTTGGGAGCCAAGTGTGACCCAGGACTCAGGGTCGCTGCCCTCAGGCAGGGGAGGCTGGAGGGGAGCCTCCAGCTCCGTATAGAGGGTGGGTGGCAAACATCTGGGCGCATTTGCAGGTAGGAACAAGCCTGCTCCACAGGAGTAGGGGGGAAGCCAGCACGGGAGGGGTCTATCTGCCCCCTGCCCTGCAGAGCCCGCTGATGGCCCTCTCCCTGTGGCCCCTTCTCCTCAGGTATCACGGGACACACGGTGACGATAAAGCCATTCTCACTGAGCCCTGGGGACACATACGTCCTGCAAGCCTCTGTGGGTACGTTACACGCTCAGCTGGACCTGGGGCGTGGGAGGATGAGAGTTTTCATTATATTCAGATTTTTTCTGGAAATTGCAGCCGCTTCTGACCTCCCGGGCTCTTGTTCCAGAGCGTCCTGACCCTCCCTCCATCCCCACCGTCCCGCACTGCTCATTCTTACCTCCTCCTGTGTTTCTGATCCTTATGGGATCAGGTGGGTGTTCAGGTCACGGTAAAGGCTGAGATGTTGGCCTTTAAAAAAACCCGGAACGGGGTGTGTGTTTATTTGATTTCTGCAAGACAGCCGTGTATGTTGATTCTTTCCCTGAGTTGGTTGATAATCCCGATGCATATGTGAAACCCAGGGAGGTGGAGGTGTTTGTGGGGTCCGTGTACGTCAGCTGCACGTTGACCCGGCGCCCTGCTCCGCCCCGCTTCTGGCCTTTCCATGACTTAATCACATCTTCCTTTTGGGGCAGTCTTGGACCTTCTGCCCCATTTCTAGCGGTTTTCAGTTCCATATGACAAGCGCAGACGATCCGACAGTTCATAAGCGCAGAGGGTTGGGGTCAGAGTCCACATGTTTGGGCTACTTGAAACCCCTGGTGCATTTCTAGCCTTGTCTCCCACGTCACCTTCCTCTCACGAGAAGCACGAGGCCAATGTCCGTGGGAAACCCCTCAGTAGGGCCCGTGGGGTCCCCGAGCTCTGTTCTCTTGTTCTCCTTTCCCCTGTGTCTGCTGACGGCTCTGCGAACGTCCGTCCGCCCGTCCACGGTGCATTCAGAGACGGAGCCCCGGGCCCCCGTGTTGGGCGTGAGAGAGACAGCCCTGCTTTTGCTTTCACAAACACAGCAAAGCAAACCTTTGGCCCTCCCTGCCATTGCCGCTATTCGTCCAAGTGACAAGACTGGGGGCCATTTTCTCAGGCAGGTCACGCTTCTTCCAGGTGGGGGAGACTCAGCCTCTGCGCGGGAGGCCCGGGGTGTCCCCGCGTGTCCCTGCATGTCCCCACTCATCTCCCCGTGCCGCCTGCCCCCAGCAGCAGCACTCGCCCCCCGGGGTTCCTGCACACACTGGGCCGGGCCATGGAGCAGCCACCCCCTTCTCTTTGACTTGACCTTGTGATGGGCTCCTTGGCCGCGTGCCCACGTCCTGTGCCCTCCAGAATCCCGCGGAGGGCGAGCCGCACGGATGACCGGCTCCACACCCTGGCAACCGCCCGGGGTGTGCTGTGAAGACGTAATCATGCTGCTGTCTTTCTCTAGCGTGGGTTTTAATCCTTGTCCTCCTGCCTGTAGCTTCCCCGCACCGCTTACTGGGGAGAGCTCAGCTGTACGTGACGCTCAATCCGGCTCCGCGGGACGTGGCCTGCCAGGTGCAGCCACATCGTGGCCTCGAGGCTCACACTGTCTTCAGCGTCTTCTGCATGTCGGGGAGACCGGTACGCTTGGCCACCCCGAGTCTGTCCCAGAGGCTGGGGTCAGAGGCCGCCCTCAAGGGGTGGCCAGCAGTCTGGGGAGATGCCGTGGGACGTGAAGCTTCATCCTGGGGTTTGGCGGCAAGAGTGCCGTGACATTGCTCCCCACCCTTTCAGGGACACACCGCCCCACTCCTGTCCTGATCTTGCTCCTTCTCTCTGAAACCCACATGCGTCCCTGGAGGGTCCGATCCTGGCCTCCTTCAGGCCCCAAATGCCCTGCTCTTTTTTTTATTATTACATTTTATTTATTTTTTAAGGTTTTATTTATTCATTTGAGAGAGAGAGCACAAGCAGGGGGAGTGGGAGAGGCAGAAGCAGACTCTCCGCTGAGCAGGGACCCCCAACACGGGGCTCGATCCAGGATCCCGGGATCATGACCTGAGCCAAAGGCAGACACTTCACCAACTGAGCCATCCAGGCATCCCTGTTATTAAGTTTTAATTTTAATTCCAGTGTAGTTCACATACAGTGCAGTATTAGTCTCAGGTGCACAGTACAGAGATTCAGCACTTCCCTACATCACCCCCTGCTCATCACGACAGGTGCACTCCATCCCCATCACCTGTTTCCCCCATCTCCACACCCCTCCCCTCTGGTGACCCTCACTGTGTTCCTTGTAGTGAAGAGTCTGTTTTTTGCTTTCTCTCTCTTCCAATGCCCTATTCTGACACCAAGAGCGATTCACATGAGCGCCTCCTCCTCAATCCCCAGTCTGTTGTATCCCCTTCACCCCAAGGAGGCCCAGGGATCTGTGTCTCTGTGGCTGGGAGAGCACACAACCCCGACTGACAGATGCAGCCACGGCGCGGGGTCCTCGTGGCTGTAGGAGAGGGGCCCTGAGGGGAGAGGTCACGCCACATGCATGCGCATTCGGGGACGGGATGTCAGTACTCGCCCCTGCCTGTCTGTATACGACGCTCTCGGATGGAGTGAAGGATGCAGGGGTGTGGATTTATTGGGGATGTAATTCACAGTTTATTCATCTATACACTGTTCTTTCCTCCACACGGAACGGATCCTAGGACTTCCATTACGAATTTAGTTACCAGATAGGAAATGCCTCCAAACGCCCTCTGTACCACGGGAGAGACAGCCAGTATTACTCCGTGCTGCCAGCCGGCGAGCCCTTGGACGATTATAAAAGTAAGTCAAGCCATGACTTTTTCGGGTGGCTGGCTGTGCTCACTTACGGTTCTAAACCTTTCCCCCTGGCTTCCAAAAACGAGAAAATGTTAAAACTGTGTATCTGGAAAATAAAATTCGTATCTCTTTATCTTAAAAAGTCTCATGCTTTTTAGATTAGGTGGCTTACCTACTTTTAAAAAAATTTTTTAAAAGATTTATATTTATTTGAGAGAGAGAGCACATGAGCAGGGGGTAGGCGTAGAGGGAGAAGGAGAAGCAGGCTTCCTGCTGAGCAGGGAGCTCAGTGCGGGGCTCGATCCCAGGAGCTGAGATCCCAGGAGCTGAGCCGGAGGCAGATGCTTAACGACTGAGATCTTAAATTACAACTGAAACATAATGTAAATGCCAAAATGCCAAAATGCCAAAGCACATCCTGTATTTATGAATTAAATGTTTGAGAGCGACCTGTCCCTTATTCACTAATGAAGTTTGTGGTATCTGGTGAATCCTGCATTGGTTGTCAACAGCACCAAATCAAGGGGCTCCCACCACGAAGAAAAGGCCAGGGTAAAGGGGTGCAGGTTAGTATGTGTTGTTCTCAGAACAAACTCAGCTCTGCCGTCCTGACACTTCCCGGACCCCGGGAGCCTGCCCGCCCTGAGCCGTTAGAGACACAGCCGTTTAGGAAAGTGGCCCCATCTGTGGAACCCACTCCCGTTGAATAAGGCTCAGGGGCTGGGTGGTTCCGAGGGACAGGCAACTTGGAGTTGCCGATCTAGAACTTTCTTTGAACTGGCCAGGTGAGCTTATTTCCGCCTGAGGTCTGAACTCGCTCATCCACTCGGTTTCCTTAAACCTCTCCTCTCCTCGAAGCCCAGCAAGAAAGGTTGCTTTTTCATGAAACCTTGCCTGACCCCCAGTGAGACGCACGTGCACCTGCTCCTGGGTGCAGCTCAGAGACAAGGGGCAAGGGCGTCCGAGCCGCACACTGTCATTGGTGAGGATGGGCACGTCCCCCGTGTGTCACTGAGCACGGTGCGCGTTGGTTGGACAGACGGACGGACGGAGGTGGTTTTCATGGGCCTGCATCATAAATTCCTCCACAGCGAAACCGCGCATGCCCTCTGTCTCCTGGAAATTTTCCTCCAAATGGATGCTCGCCCCCACCCCGCCAAGCCCCCCACTTGCTGGTGTTGGGTATGAAGCCCGGCAGGGCCCCTCCCCAGACGCCCGCCTGCAGGGCAGTGTGGGACCCCGTCCGCAGGGGCCTGCAGACCGCAGGGCTGGCCAGACGCCCACATAGGACGTTGGGGGCAGGGCCTCAGCTCCGTGTTGGACGAGAGGGTTCCTTAAGGTGAATCTGTAGACCCAAATTTCAGGCCACGGGCACCGAGCGGTGTCAGGGTGAGTGATGTCACCCAGGCCATTCCCAGAGTGTGCACGAGGCGTTGCAATGGTCAACGCCGTGATGATCGACGCCTACGAGTATCTGACTTCCAGATTCATACGAGGGTGAACACAAGCAGAATAAATCAGTGCGGCAGATACCAGATCCTATCCTGTCCCATCTCGTGCGAGAAGGTTCCCCACGGACTCGGTGTCAGGTTGGAGTCTGGCCTGAACTCCGCTGGCGTTCTGCACTCTCTGCGTCCAGCCGGAGGACCCGTGTTATCCGTGGTGGAATCCCCGCCGTACTTGCTCAACTGTAGCTGTCTCACAGCTGGAAAGGGGGCCCACCCTCACCTACTGGCTCAGAACCCTGGGAGGAGCAGGTGGAGCCCGGCATTTGTTTGTAGTGGTGATTGGGTGGCCCGGTGTCCAGGGTCCACTTCGGGAGAAGCACCGACCTTCAAAATTAAGTCCCAAGTCCTTGGCTCTGTGTTTCGGGTTGAGAATGCTTTCACGCCCCTGGCACGCTTCAGGTCCGCCTTCTGCATGTTCCTGCGGCCGGCCCTGCGGCCTCCCCGGGCAGCATCATCTGCACGTCTCTGCCCCGCAAACCCCGGGCCTGCATCCTGAGGCCCCAGCAAAGCTGTTTGCTGCCACGCTCCTGGTACCTGCCCTGTTTCTGGACATCACTGAGGAGCTGCTTAAAATGTTACTCCAACCCTTGAGCCTCCGTTGCTGAGCGTGGGTTTCATTCTCGGGGTTTCCCACTGCCCCGGTTTCCCGTTCACTGGTGGGGTCCTGCCGCCACTGGCTCCCGGGGCCTGCAGGTGGGACGAGCGAGCGAGTGAGCGGAGCACTTCCTGGCCCCCGTGGCCCGTGGCGGCCCCTTCTGCTGCATCCGCGCGACCGCTCCCGTGTCCCCGGCTCTCCGGCGCTCAGTGCCCAGCACTGCTGTGTGGCACTTGATGCTGGCACGCTGGCCTCGCCACAAGGATGGGGCGGCCTCGCGCTCAGAGCCCATGCCTAGCTGTGTTGCGACGTCACCACCGTGGGCCCATAGGTCCGCCCGCAGTGATTCTGGTTCCTGAGGGCTTGATCTCCACCGTGACCCTCCTCCGCCACGTTCCCTTCCAGTCACGGTGACCACTGAGATCACAGACGGCGTGGGCTCCCGGGCGCCGCCGTGCGCCGTGACGGTGACCGTGCGGCCCCGTTTCCACGGGAATCTCTGCCTGGACGAGGACACGTGAGTGAGCCGCACGGAGACACCCTCACGCACGCATGCCTGCGTGTCCTCGGGAGCGGGGTCTCCGCCAGGCCAGCCACAGGTGGGGGGACCCATCTCCTCGGGGTGAGCAAAAGAAACAGCTAGGGTTCCGCAGTCCTAACTCCGATCTGCGCGGAGTGCGCGCAGGTGCGTCAGGGCCTGCGAAGCACAGGCCGAGCTGGGCTGCCATCCCTTGGCTTCAGGGCGCTTACAGACCCGCATGCTGAGCCCTAGTGTTGGAGCATTTCCATTGTCCCCCTAAACCCGTGGCTCGTTAGCGGTCACTTTCCTTCCCCCACAGCCCCAGACGGCCGCTAACCTACCTCCCGTCCACAGATTGGCCGGTGCTGGACATCTCTGCAAACAGGGTCACAGCCTGCGTGCTCCTTTGTGCCGGCCCCTCTCAATAGCTGGGGCGTCTTTGAGGTCCTTCCATGTCGTGGCACCGTCACAACCCCGTTCCCTCCTGTGATGTTCTGTTGTGGATCTGCTACGAGCTGTTTGTCCCTTCCTCAGCTGGCGGACGGATGGTGTGTTTCCACTTTGGACTGTTAGGAACAGAGCTGTGGACCTGTGTTTTCGTTGTTCTTGGGTAGATACCTAAGGGTGCTGCTGGCTCATAGGGTCACCCCGTGCGTATCATGTGGGGGAAGCAGCCAGCCTGCTTTCTGGAGTGGCTGCGCCATTCCCACGAGGCTCCGTCTACACCACACTGCTGATACCTCTCTTTTCCACTCTAGCCATCCCAGTGCCACTGAAATGGTGTGTGCGCTGGGCCTCAGAAACGTGCATTTCCCTCATGACTGACGGTGGAGAGCATCTTTTCATGGGCTTGCCCATCTCGCTTGGAGAAATGTCTGTTCACGTAGTTTGTTTAAAAATTGGGTTGTCTTTTTCTGATTAAGATGTAGGAGCTCTTCACATATTCGGGAAGCACGTCCCTTGTCAGAGACATGATTTGCAAATATTTCTCTCCAGTCCGTGGTTTGTATTTTCTCTTCCACGTGGTGTCCTTTGAAGCACAGAAGTGTGTGATTTTGATGAAGTCCCACATGCTGATTTTCTCTTTTATTGCTTGGTATATCCATAGGATTTACTGCTGTGTTTTCTTCTAGGAGAGTTCTAGTTTTTGCTCTCCCACTGAGCTCTGTGATCCGCTTTGGGCTAACGTGTGTGTGTGTGTGTGTGTGTGTGTGTGTGTGTGTGTGTGTGTTGTGAGGTAAGGCTCCAAGGTCATTTTTCCATAGGGAGCTGTCCAGTTCTTCCAGCACTGTGTGTTGAAAAGGTCAGTCTTTCCCCAATAAATTATCTTAGTCTCTTTGTCAAAAGTCAGTTGACCATAAATGCTGTGGAGTCTCAATTCTACCTCCTGTCTCTGCCACACTGTCTTAATTACTGTAGCTTCATAGTAAAATTTGAAATTGGGAACCATGAACCCACTAACTTTGTTCTTTTTTTTCAAGATTATTTTGTTATTCTGTATCTCCTGGTTATTATTCTGTCAATTTCGGCAAAAAGCCCCCTGGGATTGTGGTAGGGATTGCATTGAGTCTGTCGATCACTTTGAGAATATCGTCATCTTGAGAATATGAAGTCTACTGATCTACGAACAAAGTTTTCCCTTTATTTAGATTTTAATTTCTTTCAGCAGTGTTTTCTAGTTTCCAGGGTACAGGTATTGAATTCTTCAGTTAAGTCTAACTCTAAGCATTTTATTCTTCTTAATGCTATTGTAAATCGAGCTGTTTGCTTAAATTCTGTTTGTGGATTCTTATTGCTAGTGTGTACGTATACAATTGATGTTTATACGATTGGTCTTGTATCCTGCAGCCTTGCTAACCTCATTTATTTGTTCTATTAGCTTCTTAGTGCATTCTATGGGGTTTTTCAATGTGGAAGAGCATGCCATCTACAAAAGAGTTTTACTCCTTCCTTTCCAACCTGGATAACTTTTTTTTTTCTGACTTAATTGCCCTGGTGAGACTCTTCCAGTTCATTGGTGAGTAGAGGTGGAAGTGTGCATATCCTGGTTTTGCTTCCAGTCTAGGCCAGGAAGCATTCTGTCTTTCACCACGGAGGGTAATGTTAGCTGTAGGTTCTCCGTGAATGTATTTTTTGAGGTTGAAGAGGTTCCCTTGTATTCCTAGATTTGGGCTATTTCTATCATGAAAGGGTATTGGATTTTGTCAGTGCTTTGCTGGATCTATTGAGATGATTATGTGGGTTTTGTCCATTACTATGGTAATTACCTTGACCGATTTTCATACTGGAGTTCCTCTTGCATTCCTGGCAGAAGCCCCACTTGGCCATGGTGCGTGGTCTGTGATCATGACATAGTGTCCAAGTACGGTCTGAGCGTGCCCTGTGCTGTGGTTGTGAGTTCGGATCCTTGCGAACCTCCAGCCCGCTGTGGCCACAGTGGTGTCTTTGTCTAGATCAGCCCTGTCCTCCCTTGCTTGCCACGAAGTGTCTCTGTCATTCTGCTTGGCGGCTCTGCCCGTCTCAGTTCTGATCAAGAGTTTTACGGAATTCTGATGTTCTGCTTCACTGCGTCTTTTCCGAGTTTCTCTTGCACAGACCGTCCCCTGTCTGTCCCGACCCACCCACGGAGCTCTCCCTAGCAAGTACCCCTCCTCTGCTGGTAGGCAGGCTGGAAAGTTTCGCCGTGGGTTGGAGCAATCCTGGTGACTCTTCGATTTCCTTCAGCTATAACTCCAGCCTGAAGCACCTCTCCACCCTTCAGCTGATGGGCAGTTACACAGAGGTCAGGAACTACATCACCGTGATGACCAGGGTCCTGACTCGTTGGGCTGCAGAGGACAGAAGTCCCTCGTGTGGCCAATGGTCACGAATACAGGATGCGCTGATTTCTTCTGTGTGCAGACTGCCTTTTGCAGATCAGGTGCGGGCTGGGGAGGGCCCGGTGCCTGGAGGTCGGCATCTGCGTGGATGGATGGCTCGCCTTGCTTACGATACACAGTGAAGAAATGGGGTGTGCAGGGCCAGCCGGCGAGGCCTCTCTCGTCAGCTCATACTTGCACAAACAAATGCTGTTGGTTCGTAAAACAGACACTGTGCACAGCAATAGCATGCAGATCATTGTGCTCACGTTTCTCTAAGTAAAGTGATGCGAATCCCACCTGACTTTACCTTGCCAGCAGCGAGATGACGGAGTTCAACGTACGATGATGTGCGGCTTCTAAGGAAATGAGCATGTGGCATTCAAATGCCGCCATCCTGGGTCACTGGCGCCTGCGCCTCCTGCCCACCCCATCGCCACTAAAGGGCGCTCGCATCTCAGCGCAGGCCTCCTGTCTCTGCCACCTTGATACCCAACTCATGCTGTTTCTCCCTCCAGGACACCTCCCACCCTTTTCCAAAATTTCCCTGAGCTCTGTCTTCCTCCTCCCTCCCCTCCAGTCACACTCCTGCTGGGCTACGGGAGGCTGGTGTCCAGCGGACACCCAGGGGACACGGGGCCCCAGGGGGCAGGTCAAGGGGATGGTCCCTCCCCCGTCTCTTAGCTCAGAAACCCGGGACTGTTGTCTGCAGCAGCTCTGAACTCCGTGACTAACTTGTCCCTCCTGTGTGTTTGCTTGTTTCTCCCGGTCAGGAAGAAATGAGCGATTCTGTTCTCATGTTAAGGGACCTCCTACGCTTCCCTCATAAGGTGAGTGCTGTTTCTTTCCAAGTCTATTTTCCTGCCTCTTTTTTTTTTTTTTTTTTTGGCCTAATTGGGAGGACTCGATCAATTCTCAAAGAACCTACAGTGCAGGGTTACGTTTTGACACTTAAATTAGAACCGAGACTTGCCCTGAGAATTCACATGAACAGCATCTCCCGTCCCAAATCACGGGGGAGGAACTTCTTCCCTAATACAGAAATTAGAAACCCCAACGTAGAAATGGATCCTGACAGTCCCATCCGTGCTAAAGATACTTCCGGTAAGGGGACCGCTCTCTGTTCTTAATCGAGGTACTGGGTTTTCCAGCTCCCTGCTTCTTTCTTTGTTTTCAAGTTTTTATTTAAATTCCAGTCAGTTAACATGCAGTGTAATCTTAGTCTCAGCTGTACAATATCGTGATTCAACACTTCCCTACATCACCCCGTGCTCATCACGACAGGTGCACTCCTTCCTCCCCATCACCTGTTTCCCCATCCCCCACCCACCTCCCCTCTGGTGACCAGCAGTGTGTTCTCTAGAGTTCAGAGTCTGTTTCTTCATTCTCTCTCTCTCTCTCTTTTTCCCCCTTTGCTTTTTGTTTTGTTTCTTAAGTTCCACATGTGAGTGAAATCATATGATAATTGTCTCTCTCTGACTGATTTCGCTTAGCATAATACTCTCTTACTTCCATCCACGTCGTTGCAAATGGCAAGATTTCATTCTTTTTTGGTGGTGGAATAATACTCCATTGTATACATATATAGCACGTCTTCGTTATCCATTCTTCAGCAGTGGACACTGGGCTGTTTCCATAGTTTGGCTATTGTTGATAATGCTGCTGTAAACATTGGGGTGCATGTACCCCTTCGAATCTGTATGTATGTGTCCTTTGGGTAAATGCCCAGTAGTAGAATTACTAGATCATATTGTAGTTCTATTTATAACTTTTTGAGGACCCTCCATACTGTTTGCCAAAGTGGTGCACCAGTTTGCATTCCCACCAACAGGGCATGAGGGGTCCCCTTTCTCCGCATCCTCGCCAACATCTGTTGTTTCTTGTGTTGTTGATTTTAGCCATTCTGACTGGGGTGAGGTGGTATCTCATTGTGGTTTTGATTTGCATTTCCCTGATGCTGAGTGATGTGGAGCATCTTTTCATGAGTCTGTTGGCCGTCTGGATGTCTTCTTTGGAGAAATGTCTGTTCATGTCTTCTATCTGTTTTTTGTTCTTGTTGTTGTTGTTTTGAGAGACGGAGAGCAAGAACGGAGATGGGGGGAGGGGCAGAGGAAGAGAATCTGAAGCAGACTCCCCACTGAATGTGGAGCCCGACATGGGGCTCGATCTCATGACCCTGAGATCACGACCTGAGCCAAAACAAAGAGTCCTAGCTTAACTGGCCGAGCCACCCAGGTGCCCCCAACCCTTCTTTCTTGTCAAATCCCCGGCTCCCGGTCTTGAGCTCTTTGCTGCTTTTTCCATGTCTCCTCTGCAGGACAGTCCCCAGCTTGGTCAGAATGTCACTTACTTACAATCCCTCTGGATACCACCCCATTTCTGTGCCCCTCCACAGGGCAGAACCTGCAGAAGGTGGGCTCTTTGCCTGCTGTGGCACACGCATGGTTAAGCGGTCAGGATCTGACTGCCGTCCCCACCTCCACACGGAGCCTGCTCCTGTCCCAGAGCCTGCAAACTCCCCTGCTGCCCAGTCTGCCCTACCAGGACCACCCCGGGGACAGCCTCTGCCTGTGACCACTGTGGGCTCCTCCCTTCCCCTTTGCTTGGTGGGTGCCCGAGGGCTGTGTCCCTGGCCCTACACTCTCTCTGCACTTTCTCCCTGGGAGGGGGTCTCACAGCCTTTTCCATTAAATCCAAGTGACGGTGACACTGCACTGTGGTCTCTACCCCGACCCTGTACCTGGAGTTGCAGACTCGTCAGTACAACCACCCACGGGTCCCCCGCGGTGGTGTCTGGTGTCTGTGCTCCCCCATCCTCCTCCCCTCCCCCCATCCCCTTCCTGTCTGTCATCCCCTGCTTTTCCTGCTCAGGGGCACAGCACCTCCCACCCCCCAAGTCCGCCAAGCCCAGGGGCCACCAAAGAAGCCCTCTCTTCCTCATCTGTCCCTGTGAGTAAAGTCTGGTCAGTTCTTCCTCAGAAACATACCTGGAAGCTTCTTACCTCTGTCCCCGCTGCGGCTGTACTCCCCAATCCACGCAGATGACCCTTCTCATTCCACACCATCTGGCTATGTCTGACCGTGCTCCCTGACACCCTGACTGTGCTCCCTGACCCCCAAATGTGCTCCCTGCCCCCAACTGTTCACCCTGCCTCCTGACTGTGCTCCCTGCCTCTCTGACTGTGCTCCCTGCCTCCCCGACTGAGCTCCCTGCCCCCCGACTGTGCTCCCTGCCTCACGAGTGTGCTCCCTGCCTCCCCGACTGTGCTCCCTGCCCCCCGACTATGCTCCCTGCCTCTCTGATTGTGCTCCCTGCCCCCCCACTGTGCTCCTTGCCTCTCTGACGGTGCTCCCTGCCCTACTGACTGTGCTCCCAGTCCCCCGACTGTGCTCGCTGCCTCTGACTGTGCTCCCTGCCCCCC